CCTTAACAGGCCACAGGTGTGCCCAATAAGGATGAGTGCTAGAAAAGAGTCCTTAACAGGCCACAGGTGTGCCCAATAAGGATGAGTGCTAGAAAAGAGTCCTTAACAGGCCACAGGTGTGACTAGTAAGGAAGAGTGCTATAAAAGAGAGGGTTAGCTGGTCCAGAAGAGAGCTGGAGTTTTTGGCTGTGAAGAGAGTTTTGGAGTTTGTTTGCTGTACTGTGAAGGAGGAGTCAGTGCTGTGAGGAGATCCCCATGAGAAATTACCAAAGAAGGTAAGGAACTTTGCAATAAGATGGCAACACAAAGGGCTCATCAGACTTAGTCATGAGTGCTTATGAGGGTTCCTAGGATCACATCCCAAAGTGGAGAGTCTCTTGTTGACTGGAGTTGCTTGTTATCTCCTATTACTTTGGTTTGCGGTCATTGCTTTCAGCTCACCTGTTCACTCAGGGGTCGTGTCCTGTGCAGCATGCACACAGAAGAATTGCCAGGTGATGACAAGTTAACAGATATGCTTCCCACAGTCTCCTGGCCAGTAAAACTGAGTGGAAGCATGAAACTGCTTCAGTATTCTTCTCTTTCTTTTTTAAGAGCATATTTAATAAAAGCAAAAATGTGAAGGTGTCACTTGATAATTAATTTCTGCTCCGTACATTGTACTCATTTTGAGATCACCTTAGTCAATAACTTCCTGTTTGCAGCAGACACATCTACTCCCAGGTCACTGTCACCAGAATATTGAGGAGCCCAATATGGAGCCTCCTGAAGTCAAGATGCAGCTTTCTAATGCTACTGGAATGGTTCATTTGTGTTACACAACCTCATACTTTTCTTTTTCTTCCTGTAGGGTTGAAATCTAAAATTCTCAATCATTAGCGTTTATTGAAAGAACTCATTCTCTGTGCTCTGCTGCTTTTTTAACAGGAGAGCAATAGACACATGGACAGTGGTTTGGCCAGCAGTACTGACTGCCCTAAACTTGTAATCCTCATGAGTGAAACCCTGTCTGTTTATGTCTGAGATTCTCCCGGCCTGCCCTGCGAGCTTCACATGCAGTTATTTGGAACAAATTAAGTATTTTTTGATGGTGGCTGAGAAAAACTAGTTAATTGAGAGCATCTTGAAATATATCATTGCACAAAGCTGACTGCAGCGTGGGCTCAGCTCAGAGCAGCAATCAGAGCACAGTACAACAGCAGGGCAGAGCTTCCTTTTTGTGAAATCAGTTACAGTGTGCAACCATGTCAGCATTCATGTTTACGGAATAAGCACATTAAAAGGCAAGAAGAAGCCAAATAACATGCAACTGTTTCTACTCCCTTTACAACATGACCAAACAATTTTGAAAACTGAATGTAAATATCTCACTCAAATGTAAAATAAAGGTTTTGCAGTTGGTTTTGGCAACAGTTTTTGGTAACACTGTGCTGGTACCTTAGTGCCAAAGAAATAGCCTCTCACACAGCATCTGAGGAGTCCTTGGTCACAGGGTGGTGAGGATGGCAGGCAGAGAAACTGCTGTATGTATGAAGAACAGCCCAAATAGGGAGAACAACATAGTTGGTTTGAGAAGGGTGATGAGTAATCTTTATTCACCAGGATCCTTTCCCTGTTTTTTTCCTTGATGTTTGTTTTGGGTGTAGTTGGAGAGAGGGTGCTGGGATATTAGGCATTCTGAAATAACCTGGTTGATTGATTTTTATGTTTTTCTGGATGGAATTATTATTACAGCAATCTCTTTTGGGTGAGGATAATATTTATGTGTATTCTGTTTGTATCAAAGTGTTTTTTGGAGGGGCTATTCTTTGCCATAGCAATTGAATAGGCACCATCCAGAAAACTCCTTTCAGCCTCCTCTTCCTAATAATTTCCCCCACTGCAATGCATCAAAGTTAATCCATTAAGTGATTTGTCAAAGGTGACATCCATGGTTGGTTCCTGATCCAGGACTCAGACTCTGTTCCCAGTATGATAAGTCTGGTCTTAAACCAGTGGGCTGTGATTTCTCCATGGAAACTATCAAAACAATTTTTAAAATACCTAAAGAATCAAAGTGGAGGACTCCAAAATCAAGCACTTGTGAATATGTAAAATTTAGGTTACTTATTCTGTGTCCAGTCCCATGCATACAGTCCATGCTAATAAACTCACAGGTGTTGTGAGGTTTTTGTTCCCTTTGCCTCATTCAGTGCACAGAACAGACACATAAATCAGCCAAGGAGACAAAGTCCTGAAAATACATGTTCTGTGTTTATTGTTTTCATTGTTCATTGTGTGAACTAACCCTATTTCTGTTAGTTACTGTCCCAGTATTTGTACTGAATTTAAGACATTAGCAGGTCCTTTAGTAAACTGTTTTTATCAAATGCTAGCAGTGGAGTGAGCATGCAGCTTTGTCTGCCCTTGCAGAGCTCTCTGGTGTGGTGCAGTGATTTAGTTTGAGCAGCTGCCCAGGTTTTCAGGCTCTCACCCTCACATTTTCCCATGGCTTGAGGAGGAGGATATTACTCTGTGGTGTTGACTCTGGAGGAGGATGTGGGGAAAAGGGTTTGGGTCCAGGTTCCCGGGTGAGTGTATTACAGCTGACTTTCCTTTCTGCTGCTCCTGCACACTCTTGTCTTCTCATTCCCTCTGTTCTTTCTTCTTTTGATTTGTCCTCTCCTGGCTCAAGCACCATTTTGAAACATGATGAATGCTGTAAGATTAATAGTGTGTGATTAAACATTTGCAAACTGAGGTTTTTCACAGATATAGGAAAGGGCATATTCTTCAAATTTCTTGTGCCAAGGTGGGGGTCCTTGGCCAGTAAAAAAAAAACCCAAAAAAACACCCCAACTACCTTTTACTTATATTGAGGAATTTATGGACTTTTTTTCTACCGTGCAGCTTCTGGTAGATATCAGAGAAGAAACTTAATACAAACTGTTTACTTGACCACATTACTGAAAATGGTATTTTATAGTAATAAAGCTTGGATTGCCCTGTATGTAGGTATGGCTCACTTTGTGTGAGTTACATTGGTTGGCTTGCTAGTTTTGGAGATTGCATTTATTTTTTTGAACACTGGGAATGGCAAATCTGGAAGCTGTGCAGGATGTTTGATGGGACAATTTGCATAATTTTGTCTGGAAAGATTCTCCAGTTCAGCTGTTTCACAGTGGTGCTGGTGTTTTAGCCTCTGCAACATGCTGAAAAGTTGAGGCACCCCTGTGTGTGTATGGAGCTCTTATCTAAAGTGTTCAACAATAAAAATAATGAATGTGGCTATGCTAAGTGAGCATATGCTAAGTACAAGACTAACAGCAAGTTTAAACTCTATACTCAGAATGGTACCTGAAAGAAGTGTTGCAATGAAAAACAATTTATTCTGGAACCTACTAAAAAAAACCAACAAATGATGCTTTGAAGATTGTATCATCAAAATGAATTATTAGGTGAACTCGGTACACAAATTGCAAGAATAATGTGAATTAAAATAGCTCGGAACACATGATGTGCAAAGGGAATTAGAAGTTAAAGTAAACCAAGCAGAAGTGGGAATTGAAGGTGTCCTGCTTTTCAACATAATTTAAAATTCAGTCATCCAAAAGTAACAATGATCAATTTGTATGTCATAAAACCGAAGAGTTTTTATATAAGTATTCCTGAAGGGCCAGAGCTGTGTGATCTGTGTTGTTCTGTCAATAAATACTCAAACAATTTAGTGTGTCACCTTGATGGTGCCTGGGGTTTCCCCACTCCCCCTGCACCTCCCTTTTCTTTTGTCAGGTTGTGAGCATAAGGAGGGGAATTGTCAATCTGGATTTTTGAAGCTGAACTTCAAAAATATTTATTTATATGACTTTATTATACACGGGCACATCAAGCAGGGTTTGAAATTTTAAAATTATGTAAAATTGAGAAACTTACCTTATGTCTTTCAAAACTGTGACAGCAGTACACATCCATACCTTTGTGCACATCCATCTTGCCTGTCTTCCTCTGTAGTCTTGTAATTCTGTTTCAGCCTTGAGGGTGTAGATTGTGGGATGCATTTGCTGCCACTGATGAACAGACTGAATAACTGTTCTCAACAGTCACTCATACTATGAAAAAGTCTCCACCCCTTCCCTTGAGCATATGATTTCAGAGTGTCTCATGGCTTTGTGGAGGAGCTGCTGCTGGTGGAAAGCCTTGGGATGGGAACAAATGGCAGCTGGGTGTGGAGCTGCTGGAGCTCTTGCAGAGTTTAAGCAGGCAGCATCCATCCCCCTGTGTTAATTGTAGTGGTTTGCCCATGCTCATTGATGTGCCACTTTTATTACCCAGACACATGGCTGTACTTTTTCCTGACACCCATTATTCCTCCCTCTGAAGAGAACAAAGGAAACAACAGTCATCTGATATTGCCTTGACAGACTTTATTTCTCAATAAAAGATGGAGGCAATCAAATCAGTCCTGCCTGCACAGCTCAGTGTTCCCTGAGCCTTCGGAGAGAGGCAAGGGAGACAATTGTTAATGTGGTAATTTTACACCTCACTGAGCAAGGTATGTGTCTAACTAAAAGTAAGTGATTGACTCCAATGAGACTACTTATGTAATTAGCACTGAGTTTTTCTGTTTCATGCTGAATATGCTTTGCTGTGTTTATATCAAATGCAGAATAAACACAGACAACAAGCATTCATCTTCCACTGAGGGTATCAAGGGCAGGTTGAACTCATAACTTCTGAAGAGAGAACTGAGTAGCCAGGTCCACCTATTGCTTGTCTTTGAATCCTTGGCAAATAGAGAGGGCTTAGAGGAAGATTTAGAAACTCATTTTCAGTGACCTCACAGAGAAGTAGTTAAAGCCAAAATAAAAATGAGTGGGAATCCATAAGCAATTGCTAATGGTTATTGCCAAATGATTTTTAGTGATCCATTATTTATTTATACTTCTACAGCTCTAAAAGCCCTAAAATTCAGAAATAGTTCAGATGTTAAGGTTTCATCCACCCAGTGTTTTTGTCCCTTGCATTAAGTGTTCATCAGGTGAAAGTAAAAGAATCAAATAAGCACCTGCATGCAGCTGGAGTAGCAAGCAGGCAATATACTTAGCATCTTATGGCCACTTGCTGTAACCAGTAGTCACAAAGATTTGATTTTTGGATGAGAACAGTCTGTGCTGTTGATCTGTACATATAACATTGGCTGCTGCTTGGCACTGTCCCTGTGTGCCATGGCTGCCACGGGCAGTGAGGATGGGCTGCTCCACACACACCAACCTGAGCTCTGGGGCAGCAGGCAGCCACAGCACAGCACAGCAGCCCTCCTGTGCTGGGAGACATCCAGGGTGGGTGGAACCCGCAGCCATGGACTGAATGAGCTCCACAGACACCTTGGAGGGAGGGCCATGGAGATGGAAATGGTACCTGTGATTGTGTATATATAGATATCTCCAGCTAATTGGAAGGGGTAGGATACAGGTGTGACATAGATTATACAGAGTCAGAGGTGGTTAATATCCTGATTCCAGCCAGGACAGGGTTAATTTTTACAGTGGCTAGGACAGGAAGGTTATTTCATACTGGCTCCCATCACTTTCTGGGAAGGGAGGAAGGGTCCCTTTGGGTTGCAGAGTGGGGCATTGCAGTTGGGTTTCCCATGGAGGTGAGCACTGGAGTATGAATTGTTTGTCTCTTGTACTCTCTTCTGTTAATATGGTTGCTGCTACCATTCATTTTCTTATCTCATTGCTGTTTCCATTATATTGGCCTTACCTCACTCCCTGATCTCTGCTTTTCATGCCTCCAGCCCTCTTCTCCATCCTGCCTCGGAGGAAGGAGAGAGCAGCTTGTGATGTCAAGTGTTTCAATGGAAACACCCTTTGGGCAATATCATTCCTAAACCATTACTAAAATGATGCAATAGCATTTTCAGATGTAGTTACCTAAATTCTCTCCACGTGGCCTTTGAGGCATGAAGTGTTTTTTTCTTTTTAATTTCCCCTCCATTGTTTTCCTTTGTGTATTACTTTTGTCAGTGGTTGGTTTGTCTGCTGGGGAGAATTACACCTCATGACAATGTAAGTTACACCTAATGCATAAAATCTGTTGCATAAAAAAGAGGGTAATTACCTGTCACTGATAAAGGTAGATGTTAGAAATTTGTAAGCACTATTTCTTTGTGCCTTGCACTTGAAACTGAAGATTGCACATTAAACAGAAATATGATACATATCTTGAAATACGATTTCAGGTACTTCTGTGATGTGTTTCTAAGGTCTGAACTGCATCTTTTGTATGTGCTTCAAATTCTTTTATATTGCTGTGTTCTAACAGTTGGTGAGAAATATGCTGACCTTCAGTGCAAATAAACTGCACTGTAGAATGTGACTAAACTTAACATTAGCAAATGTGGTATTTTCATCTGGATGTAGTTATTTGATTGTTATTTAAACCTGAATGTCTTTTTGACACCATGACTGTGATAAACCTCATAAATTGTCTCCTAGGTCATACTAGACAGCTCCAGTCAGGCTCCATCTCTTCTAGACAGGCATGCTAGGAACACATTAATGAGGTAATACATGGGGACAGTCTACTCTTGCCTCAACAATTACATTTGACAGATGCTACAAGAACGTAGCCTGTTACTTCTCATGAAATATTGCAGGTATCCTGAGAAAAATAAATCCTGAAGATACTTCTGCAAACTAAAGAATGTATGTAGTCTTTTGACAGTTCCCACTGTATATTTGGAGCACACTGCAGTGCTGAAATGCTCAGCAGGACTCATTGCTCTGGAGTGTTATAGGTTGCACCCATGGGCTTTGTATTAGCAGCTTCAACATCCAGCAAAAGCAACATTTATCTGTACTTAGCTGTGCCACTTAAGCACTTCTCTCATCCACAGGCTGTAGGAGGGTGAACATTTTAGGGAAGTTATTTTAATCCTACAGCTGGAAACATGTTAGTTTATAAACATGGAGGGGATGGAGGATGCTGAGGTTGGTGCCTGTGCAGGCAATATCCACATTTTTGTGGATAGTGACATTTCTTCATGAGGACTGTTGTTCATACGTGCAGAGGCTTTAACATGGTACTATCTTGAAGATTCATTTTTTTGCACTTGGTGACCTGCAGTCAATATAACACTTTCTGTCGTGTTTCCAGTATTATTTTTATGCAATTAACATGCCAATGTAATTGCCAGAATTATTGTTGAACCCAGCCTACCCACCTTTTCATTAAAGTCCCCTGTTAAATCATCAACTTTATTCAGTTGTGTTAGGTATTTCTCATTAAACCATAATAATGTGAACTCTCTTCCAGTAAGTCAGATGAGGCTTTGTCATGTATGTGTGATAATTATATTGGTGATAGATCAAATAAAAATACCTTCTGCTAGCAGGGTTATTTGCATTTCACTCGTGATGTTGCGTAGCTGACATGAAATCTCTTTTTATTGCCTTATTTCAGGGATGCAGGGAAGTGAGTACTGGGTATAAAATGACATGAAAACAAATAGCTCTTGTAAGTTTGAACCAACACAACCCTTAATGGGAATTGTTTTCCAAACCCAAAGTCAGTGCAGGCATTTGGAAGGTTCAAGTCTGATGCTCAGCAGATGTGGATCATATTTCTTAATCTCATTATGCAGTTCTGCATTTAAGCAATGCTAAAAGAAGCATTTATTAATGTTTTCTTTTAATTTTTCACTGAGACATTTCCTATGCTTGCATACATATGATACATTGATGACATATTCTGAGTTTGGCAAATTTTCCCAAACTTATACCAGCTTTTGTGGTGGCTTTTGTAGAATTATAGGATCATTCAGGTGGGAAAATGCCTTTAAGACCATTGAGTCCAACCATACGTGAGTTTCCTGGACTGTGGGGTTTTTCCCTTTTCTTTGGCCCTGTTTAACCTGCTCTGGCCTGAACACCCAGGGCAGCACCGGCAGCTGCACCTGAGGCCCACCAGGCCGGGCCTGGCCCGCGACATTTCCAGCACTGAGGGACTGAGCTGAGCTGCACCCCGGGGAGGGACTTTCTCAGTCTGTCATCTCTCTTGGAGCAGCAAGGGGTTTTAGTGTTTAGTATTGTTTAGGTTTTATTGTTTAATAAACAGGGTTTTTCCACTTTTCTCCAAGGAGGTAGTTTCTCTTAGACCAGTTGGGAGAAGGGCCAAATGAATCTGCTTTCCTATAGGAGCCCCTTGGGGGGGTCTCTCCCAAGTTTGCCCTGAACCAGAGGAGTTTTGTACAAATCATTGGCAGTGTCTTGGGGCACCAGTTCATAAGGGCAGGGCAACGAGGGTGTGACTGATGCCTGTCCCTGCCTGCAGCCATGGCCGCGGCCTGAGGGCTGCTGAGGAGCAGAACAGAGAGCGACTCAAACAACACAATCGTCTGTGTCCCTTCTTGGCTTCTCTCTTCCTTCCTGATTTTAATGACAGAGCCAGTGGACAGGTTCTAGCCCTTGGAGTTAATTTGGATTGCCTGTAACAATTTTTTTTTTTCTTTCTTTTCTTTCTGACTTCCAAATTGCTGCCATCATAGCTCGGGAGCCGCTGCTGAAAGGGCAGGACCTGTGGAGAGTCCTGAGAGTGTCCTTTATATTGATAGAACGGCCAGTTAAGTGAGTTGTAAAGCAAGGGCTTTGGGTTTGCTCTGCCACAGAATATGAAGAATATTAACAGTTTTAGTGCATTTTTTAAAAAGAAGCACATTAAGGTCACTTTTTCTCCCGAAGTCGCCCAGCTGGCAACATGAAATGTTCCTTTGCCACTAGGACAGCATTTCTTTTGCTGTCATCTAATGCTGGGGGTTAGGCATGCTTTTCTGCTGCTCAGTGTATTTGGTTTATTGATTTTTGAAAAATACATGCTGTGAAATTAAATTAATAGTTAAATACTGAACTGTTAGGAAGAAATGTCCCTTTAGTGTCTCTTAGATTAGAATTTATCAGGAAAAGTGCTTCCAGTTTTGAATTGAGCACACCACCACAGACTAAACAGACAATTATTTTAAAAGGTTTCTTTTTTTCTTTGCTGGTTGAACAAAATCTATATTGACAGTGCTAAAGGCAGAAGTCCTCAGCTTGGTGTAGGTAGAATGTAACGTTGACTTTAAGGAGGGAAAGCACTGTTCCCTTGGCAAAGGGAACAGTGAATCTTCAATGACCAGCTGCAGACTTATGAAATATGGTCAATTATTTCCACTGTTATTTTTAAACTGGAGTATATGGATTACTTTATTTTTGCAATCTGTTTTAATGTTAGTGTCTGTGTCTTCCAGTATATGTGAACCTTTGTCTGTCTCATGCATTTTCATCTTTGGTTCATTCACTTTGCACACAAGAAACTTGTGACTACTCTGCTTGGAAACTTATATTCCTGAATTCTTTGCTACAAGAATTGGTCACAGAATGTCAATTTTACACATTCAAGAAATATATTTTTCTCTTATGATGATTATTTCTTTTTTAACATTAGAAGCATCTCTAATAGTGAACTTTAAATGGGAGTACAAGTGTGGCCAACTTGTACAGTGAAAAAATGT